CAGTTTTGATAGATGTTGTTAATCTATTTTTCACAGAGATTTTACCCCCTAACTAGCAATACATGAGAATGACTGTTTCTATATATCCTCGCCAATAAAATACTAAATTTTTGATTATTTTCAACCTGATGTAAAAATGGTATTTCATGTTGAATTTTTAAATTATGAGAAAGCTCAGACATCTTTTTATATTTTATGAATCATTTGATTTTAATTTTCTGTGACCTACTATATTACGTCTTTTACCTATTTTTATATTGTTATTGGTCTTTTTTCATTAACTTGTCTATGATATGCATTGCAAACATTTTGCTATTTTATTTAGTTGGTTTATGTCGTTTTTTTTTGCTACACAGTTTTTCTATCATTGAAAGTCAAATATTGAGGAAATAAGAGAGGACACAAACAGATGGCAAAACATTCCATGCTCATGGTTAGGAAGAATTAATATTGTGAAAATGGCCATACTGCCCAAAGTAATTGATAGATTCAATGCTATCCCCATCAAGCTATCATTGACCTTCTTCATAGAACTGGAAAAAAACCACTTTAAACTTCATATGGAACCAAAAGAGAGCCTGCATAGCCATGATAATCCTAAGCAAAAAGAACAAAGCTGGAGGCATCATGCTACCTGACTTCAAACTATATTACAAGGCTACAGTAATCAAAACAGCATAGTACTGGTACCAAAACAGAGATATAGACCAATGGAACAGAACAGAGGCCTTGAAAGAAACATCACACATGTACAACCATCTGATCTTTGACAAATCTGAAAAAAACAAGGAATGGGGAAAGGATTCCCTGTTTAATAAATAGTGTTGGGAAAACTGGCTAGCCATATGCAGAAAGCTGAAACGGGACCCCTTCCTTACATCCTACACTAAAATTAACTCCAGATGGATTAAAGATATAAATATAAAACCTAACATCATAAAAATCCTAGAAGAAAACCTAGGCAAAACCATTCAGGACATAGGCATAGGCAAGGACTTCATGACTAAAACACCAAAAGTATTGGCAACAAAAGCCAAAATAGACAAATGGGATTTAATTAAACTTAACAGTTTCTGCATAGCAAAAGAAACAATAATTAGAGTGAACCGGCAACCAACAGAATGGGAAAAAATTTTGCAATCTACCCATCTGACAAAGGCCTAATATCCAGAATCTACAAAGAACTAAAGCAGATCTACAAGAAAAAAAACAAACTAACCCATTCAAAAGTGGGCAAAGGATATGAACAGATGCTTTTCAAATAAGACATTTACAAGGCCAACAAACATATGAAAAAATGTTCATCATCACTGGTCATCAGAGAAATGCAAATCAAAACCACATTGAGATACCATCTCACACAAGTTAGAATAGTGATCATTAAAAAATCTGGAGACAACAGACGCTGGAGAGGATGTGGAGAAAAAGGAATGCTTTTACACTGTTGGTGGGAATGCAAATTAGTTCAACCATTGTGGAAGACAGTGTGGCGATTCCTCAAGGATCTAGAAATAGAAATTCCATTTGACCCAGCAATACCATTACTGTGTATATACCCAAAGGATTATAAATTGTTCTATAGACACATGCACATGTATGTTGACTGTGGCACTGTTTACAATATCAAAGACCAAATACCCATCAATGATGGACTGGACAAAGAAAATGTGGCACATATACACCATGGAATACTATGCAGCCATAACAAACAATGAGTTTATGTCCTTTGTAGGGACATGGATGAATCTGGAAACCATAATCCTCAGCAAACTGACACAAGAACAGAAAACCAAATACTGCATGTTCTTGCTCATAGGCAGGTGTTGAACAATGAGAACACATACGCACAGGGAGGGGAATATCATCACACACTGGGGCATGTTGGAGTGGGCTAAGGGAGAGATAGCGGAGGTGGGGTGGGGAGGTTAGGGAGGGATAACATGGGAAGAAACAGATACAGGTGACAGGGGAGATGGAGGCAGCAAACCACCTTGCCATGTATGTACCTCTGCAATAATCCTGCATGATCTGCCCATGTACCCCGGAACCTAAAGTACAATAAAAAAAAGAAAAATAACCCTGTTACACTAAAAAAAAAAATAAGTGAAATATACTTAAGAGAATGAAAAGACAAGCAGTAGACTGGGAGTAACTCTTTGCAAAACATATCAGACAATGGACTGGTATCCAAAAACAAGAACTCAAAAATCAACCTTAAGAATACAAAAATATCTGAATGTGAAGAATGCAAAATATCTGAATCAACATCTAACCAAAGAACATATGCAGCTGGCAAATAAGCATACTACACGATGTTCAACATCATTTGTCATTAGAGAATTGCAAATCAAAACAATAAGATACACACCAATTAGTATGGCCAAAATCCAAGACATTGACAACACCAAATGTTGTCCAGGATGTGGAGCAAGAAGACCTCTCATCCATTGCTAGTGAAAATACAAAATGATACAGCCACTTTGGAAGATAGTTTGACACTTTCTTACAAAGTGAAGCATACTCTTTACCATATGATCCAACAATTGTGCTCCTTGAAATTTTTACCCAACTAATTTGAAACTTATGTCCACCTAAAAACTTGTACATGGATATTCCTAGCAGCTTTACTCATAACCACCAAAATTCAGATACAAACAAGATGTTCCTTAATAAGTGAATGGATAAACAAAGTGTGGTATATTCATCATGCAGCAATACAATTTTTAAAATTGCGATAGTAAGCTATAAAAAGACATGGAGGAACCCTAAACGTATATTGCTAAGGGAACACTCAATCTAAAAAGACTACATATTGTATGATTCCAACTATATGACATTCTAGAAAAGGCAAAACCACAGAGACAGTAAAAAGACAAGTGGATGATAGGGGCTCAGGGGGAGAAAGGGAGGGAGTGGTGAATAAGGGAGCACTGGGGATTTTCTAGGGCAGTGAAACCATTATTCGGTATGATACTTTAATGGTGGATATGTTTCATTATACATTTGTCAAAACTCATAGAATATATAACACAAAGACTGAACACTAATACAAACTACAAAATTTAATTAATGATAGTGTAATCACTGGCACATGAACTCTAACAAATGTACCATATGAATGCAAGATATTAATAATAGGGACGTGGTAGAGTGAGAGAGTATATGGAAACTCTCTGCACTTTCCATTTTTTTCTGTAAGCCTAAAACTGCTCCAAAACGTTTATTAATTTTTTAAAGAATCAAATGTACAAATCCTTTCTTTCATTGTTTCTATATGCTGTGTCATACATTTAGAAAAGCCTTCTCCATTATAAAAATAAAAACCCTATGTTCTCTTCTAGTTTTTCTGAGGTTTCATCTTTTTGACTTTTAATAAACTTTATTTTTAAAAAAATTTTCTTTTTTATCTTAACTCAAGTATCAATCTACAGATCAGGTAACAAACTTTATTTTTTAGGGCTATATCTTCAAACCTTGGCTGTGATAATTTCTTAGAGTTTCTTTAGTTTTGATGACTCTGACAGTTTTACAAATACTAATCAGGTATTTTGAAATATCTCTCTATGAGAATTTTTCTGATATTTATCTCATAATTAGACTAGGATTATGGGTGTTGGGGAGAAAGACCAAATAAATGCCATCTTTCATATCATATATAATATAATATAGTATCATATCAAGAGTATATACTATAACTATTTATGTTGACCTTGATCATGTAGCCGAGGTAGTATTTGTCAGGTTTCTACACTTTGTCGTTACTTTTACCCTACCCTCACCCTTTCCATACTGTGTCTTCAATATAGTAAAGAAAGTGACTATAGTGAGCCCACACATAATAAGTGTGGAACCATGCTTTTCTTCCTTGAGGGCAAAATATCTGTAAAAGTCATTTGTAATTCTTCTGCAAAGAAAATTTGTGTCTTCTTCCCAGTTGTTTACTCATTAAATCATTTATTTATACTGGTAAGGATTCATAGATGTTTATTTCATACTTTGGGCTATCTCACATTGTTCCAGCTTTGGCTGTTGACAGCTCTTTCAGTTTGCTTTTGTCTCCCTTTTAACATACTCCCATCAATGTGGGATATTTTTTTGTTTGTTTTTTGAGAACTTTCTTACTTTCTGGCCTTACAAGATGCTTGAGGCTTATCATATACATTTCCTGCCTCAGTCTTATAATCATCCATGTCTCAAAAAATCCTTGGTTCCTTTTATTATACAATGGTCTAAGGAGCCAAGATCTGGTAACCAGGTATGCTCAATGTTAGTGGAGCATTATTGCTTCTAGGCCCTCTCAATTGACAGAGGCAATTAATATATGTGTACAGCTTTATTTTTAACACAAATTTTTTACACATGTATAAATTTTTTTTTTTTTTTTTGAGATGGAGTTTCGCTCTTGTTACCCAGGCTGGAGTGCAATGGCACGATCTCAGCTCACCACAACCTCCGCCTCTGAGGTTCAGGCAATTCTCCTGCCTCAGCCTCCTGAGTAGCTGGGATTACAGGCACGCACCACCATGCCCAGATAATTTTTTGTATTTTTTAGTAGAGACGGGGTTTCACCAAGTTGACCAGGATGGTCTCGATCTCTTGACCTCGTGATCCACCGGCCTCGGCCTCCCAAAGTCCTGGGATTACAGGCTTGAGCCACTGTGCCTGGCCTTGATGTAATTTTAAGGTAGAAATTCAAATTTAATTTTCTCCCACTGTTTTTATAGCCTGTATTAAGACTTCAGATGGCCATTTCTTGGTTGAGTGGCATCAGAAAGATTATTTAACTTCTCTCATTCTGTGTTTCTTCACTAGTGAGGTAGAGTAATAATACCAGTCTTACATGTCTTTCAGAGCTATAATAAGGATAAAAATGAGATGATAGTCTGGAAAGTTCTATGTGGACTTAACACTTTACAAACATATGATGTAATTATTAATCACTGTTGTACTAAAAAGCACTTTTATTAGAATTAGCATTCCTCAGGCAGCAAATAACTAACCTTCTTTAATTGAGACTTCCTTTGCTTGCATTACTTTTAATAAACAGTTAGTCTTTTCCAACTGAATATCCAGTATATTGTTCTTTCCATTAGTTTCTATCATTTTCTGTAGAAGAAATAGATCACATATTATTAACAAATCAATGCTGCTAATATAATTTTTTATTAAGTAATAAAGACTAATGAAAATACAAACCACTTAATATCTGAAAGTCTAATAACAAAATACGTATACAGTCATGTACTGCATAATGATATTTTGATCAAGAACAGACTGCATATATAATAGTGGTGCAATAAGATTATGATGGAGCTGCCTTATACAAGTGTACCAATTTTAACTTTTATACCATATATTTACTGTACTTTTTTATGTTTAGGTATACAAATACTTACCATTGTGTTATAATTGCTTCCAATATTCAGTACGGTAACATGCTGTATATATTTGTAGCTTAGGAGCAATAGGCTATACCATAAAGCCTAAGTGTGTAGTAGGCTACACCACTTAGGATTATGTAAATATACTCTATAATGTTTGCACAATGACAAAATTGCCTAATAATGCATTTCTGAGAACATATCCTTGTCACTGAGCAATATATGACTGTATTTAAAATAAGCCCACTTCCCAATTTATTTTCAAATTAAAAAGTAACATGGTAAAATATTAAAACAGACTATTAGTTATAAATGAAAAGTAAAAATATGACCTAACTTGAACTACTTTCTTTCTAACTATTCAACTCTCAGTAGAAGTACTTTCTTTCCAACTATTCAACTCTCAGTCCCATGGTTAACAATTCCTTTTATATGTTTCAAAACTATTTTATGACTGTTCAGATATAGTAAAAAATCATCTTATATTCTGTTCTGTGCCTTGGCTGTTCCACTTAGTACTATTATCTGGAAGATGATGTCATGTAAGCACACATAGATCTACCTCATTCTTTTTAACAGCTACATTGAGTTTCATTTTTGAATATGCTGTAATTTATTTAACCAGTCTCTTATTGAGACAGAGAGAGAGACAGAAAAAGAGAGAGAGGCCATATTCTAATTTTTGTAATGAATAAACATTTTCTTTTTTTTTTTTTTTTTTTTTTTTTTGAGACGGAGTTTCGCTCTTGTTACCCAGGCTGGAGTGCAATGGCGCAATCTCGGCTCACCGCAACCTCCGCCCCCTGGGTTCAGGCAATTCTCCTGCCTCAGCCTCCTGAGTAGCTGGGATTACAGGCACACGCCACCATGCCCAGCTAATTTTTTGTAATTTTTAGTAGAGACGGGGTTTCACCATGTTGACCAGGATGGTCTCGATCTCTTGACCTCGTGATCCACCCGCCTCGGCCTCCCAAAGTGCTGGGATTACAGGCTTGAGCCACCGCGCCCGGCCCATGAATAAACATTCTTAACCATATCTCTTTGATATCTTTGTGAATAGTATAATAAGCCTCCATATACTCTTCAAACAGCTTCAAAATCAATTCACGAAGAGTCTTATGTAATCTATATCTCTACCCACTACCCTAGTCTCATCACTTTTGAATTGATCTCAAAGCAACTCTCTGACCTTATGTTATTTCATCTGTTAATACTTCCATTCATATGTATCTCCAAGAGATGACTCTTTTAAAATATGGCCATAATATCATCATCACCTCAAAAATTAACATTTATTTCTTATTTAAAATGTTTAAGAATATAACAGATATTTCCAAATTAATTTTCAAAATCATTGCACTAATTTCTCTTTCACCAAAAATACTTCTTATTCCTTTCTCTTCTGTCTCTTATGTTAAGAATCACTTGGTTAAGAACACTTAACTTTATTGTTTAAAAAATGCTCATAATGTAACCTTAAAATATCTATGGTCATAAAAATTATTTCATTATGACCTTTGTGTGTGTGTGTGTGTGTGTGTGTGTGTGTGTGTGCTGAGGAAAAGAAATAGAAAATAATTATCAGAAAAGAAGAGAAAAAGAGATAAGTAGTACTCTCCTTCCCACTCTTGCTTCGCAAAGTCACTCCCCAATGCTTTCATTTAACCACCTACATTTTTCAATAGCTATTGAAGGCAAAGGAGGGAGGAAAACCCCAATATACACTTGTGGGTTTGGTCTACCATTGGTCCAGACTCAGAGAGAGAGACTTTAAATGGCTTTGCTTTTAGGCAAAGAGAAGGAAAAGGGAACAGATAGAATATGAAATACTAAAAAATGAGTAGCTATAATAACAGATTGAAATATGCATTTACTTCAATATTTACTAAAATCATTCCTGAGTTTATGGACAACCTAGGTTTTCAAGTACAGCAACCCCCCTTTATCCATGGAGAGATATGTTTGATGACCTCCAGTGGATGCCTGAAACCTCAGATAGTACTGAACTCTATAATGTTTTTACCTCTACAAATTTAACTATGATAAAGTTTTATTTATAAATTAGGCACAGTAAGAGATGAACAATAATAACTAATAATAAAATAGAACAGCCATAATATACTGTAATAAAAGTTACATGAATGTGGTCTCTCTCTCTCTGTCTGAAATTATCTTATGGTACTGTACTCACTCTTCTGATAACTGAGATGGCTACCAAGTGACTAACAGACAATTGGCCTATACAACATGGATACACTGGTCAAAAGGATAAATTATATCCTGGGCAGGACTGAAAAAGACAATGAAAGATTTCCTTATGCTACTCAGAATGGTGCAGAATTTAAAATTTATGAATTGTTTATTTTGGGACTTTCCCATTTAATATTTTTGGACCGCTGTTGACCTCAGGTGGGTGAAACTACAGAAAGCAAAACCTCAGATAAGGGGGACTACTATATGTAGTTTCTGTTTAACTTTGACAAAATAAATAAATAAATAAATAAATAAATAAATAATTTATTCCCCTGTCCTAGGGACATTTTGATGTATTAGTACAAATAAGTCCAAGCCAGATGTATCTGAAACATGGATTTCTAAAATGAAAGAGAAGAGCGTAGCAAAATATATTATTACCTTGATCATTTTTTGGTACATTTTTCTTTCTTCCCAACTTCTTCCCTTGGCAAATCTATTCCATATTCCCCTATATATTACAATTGTTTTCTATCTTTACATACCTTTTCTATCTGTGAGAAGTCATTTATAAGTTTGTCAAGATTCACACTGCTAATCTTTTTCATACATGCTTCACTGCTTTGGTCCATGCCTGAAAGTAATAAACAGTAGATAGTGTTAAATAAATCTAAAGCACCACAAAAGTGGTCATAGCTCAAACACTAATGTTTCTGTATTCTACTCATAGGGCATCTACCTGGGTTCTATTGCACTCAGAGAATTTTTGTTATAACCAATATTAACAGTGGTCAGGCTCATGCCTGTAATTTTAGCACTTTGGGAGGCTGAGGCCGGCAGATCACTCTGACCAACTGGAGAAACCCTGTCTCTACTAAAAAAATACAAAAGTAGCCAGGTATGGTGGCACATGCCCTGTAATCCCAGCTACTTGGGAGGCTGAGGCAGGAGAATCGCTTGAATATGGAGGCAGAGGTTGTGGTGAGCTGAGACTGTGTCATTGCACTCTAGCCTGGGCATCAAGAGTGAAACTCCATCTCAGAAAAAACAACATGCCCACACAACAAAAAAACAGTGGTCAAATGCATCGCCTTTTCCAAATCCTTACCACCCACACTCCAGTTGACTTAGATTTGTTTCTTTAATGCATTAAAATATAATGCAATATTAAATCTGAGGCATGACTTTTAACTGTAATTATTAAGATGTTAAAAATATTTGTTTATCATGTTACAAGTATTTTCTGCTAGTATACTTATTTCTTATATTTTGTTTGGTAAACTGCTAAATAAAAGACATATGAAATCAATGTGCTCAAAGCAATCTTTCTGCATTTCTAGTGTCTTGTAATTTTGTGTAAGATTAACCTTTGGGGATAGCCAAATAATTGCTAAAGAATAAGAGTTTCAGTTTTAGTCCTATGAAACCAGTCTTAAGAAATTCTTGAGAATCCCAGAATGAAAATGCTGGCTACTTTGCAAAAGTCAGTTTATCTATTCTGACTAGATGAATTTACATTGTCAGATGTAATGTAAACAAGTATGAGACATTTGTCTTTAGATTCTTCTCTAGCAAAGAAGAAAGGGAAAATACAAGTTTGAAGTTCAGCCATGTTAGACTGAGGAAAAGACATGAGCCAATGTATGGTGTGTAAAAGTGTTAACTAGTCCAAAGTAAAATGTTAGGTAAAATTCCTCATATAGCTACTCAAAGCAATTTGGAGGCATACTAATGTTTAAAAAGAAGTTAGCTAAAACAGACATTGCTTGACAATATGTTATTTCATCAAGATATCTAATTATCTTCTTTTGAAATATTATTTTGCATTAGCAACTATTATGTATAACATATGTAAGTACAACTATATATAAAATCTCTTAAATAGTTAAAACTTGATCCTTACAGCAGAAAAATATTTGTAATATCCTCATAATACAGCAAAATTCCTTTTGGAGTAAAATTAAAAATAATTGCTATTTGACAGTAGTGTTATTCTTTAACAGTGCTATATGGTGCTCTGAAGTAGTTAATGCAAAATCTCTCCACCTCCAACTTATTTTTTTTTGGACCTAACCTTTTAAACAATCGAGGTTTTAGTAGGGTTGTGTCTCAGAATCTGGCTCTTGAAATAAATGCATTCATATTTGAGCTTGATTTTCTCTCAACTCCTTCCCCCAAATAAGACCCCGTTATTTCCTTATAAAACCATCATTAATATTCTATTTGCTATCATTGCATGATATCCCTTTTGTCATACTGGCAGAGCCAGGAAATTCATTTCTATATATCTTCATTGTCTGATCTTCTGATTTCCCAGGTCAAGATCCTTTCAGTGAATATGGTCTTGCCTGGTGAAATTAGGTGATAAGCTGGTGATTCAGTCCTTGTCAAATTCCTTCGTAAGCAGCAGAGACTGATTTGTAACTTTCCAGGCTCAGCTTCGACCGTCCCCATTGGCAAATGACAGTCCCATTTCCTTCTTTGTACTTTTGCCTGCTGGCTTCAACCATCCCCACAGGAGAGTGACAGTCCCGTTTCCTTTCGTGGCCTCCTGTCTGCTGCCTTGAGTCCTGGGGCTCGTCCTGTGCCCGACATCTACAGTTGGTCCTTCGCAGCTCGCCGGCCCCACGCTCTGGTCACTTCCTCTTCTCCCCTCCTCACTTCCCCTCAAGAATTCACTCTCAGTCCCGAAGCCTGGGTCCCCTGGCTCCCTCCCCGGCATCCTAGTGTCCTTAGGGACTTAGCAGAAATAAACGAAGGGGGCCGAGGACTCGCCGATGTGAGAGAAGTGCCTGAGACAAAAACTTGTATGGACCCAGAGCACTGTAAGGAGATATGAAGAAAAGCATCTCTACGGAGAAAGCGGGAGTTTCGAACGCTTTCTAGTGTCCCTAGAGGCCTAGCAAAAATAAAGGATGGGGGCCGAGGACCCGCGGATGTGAGAGAAGTGTCTGAGACAAAAACCTATATGGATCCAGAGCACTTTAAGGAAATATAAAGAAAAGCATCTCTATGGAGAAAGCGGGACTTTCGAAACGTCAATAGAGTTTGGAGCGTACCTGCTGTTGCCCTCAGGTCCCCACAGTCTCCCTTGCCTCTCTATCTCCTCAGGGGCCTGGTACGCCTCTGAATGCTGTCCCCTCCTCCGGAAGCCGGATCCCCTAACAATGGGCCCGACTTTCTCTGGACCCGCCCTGTGCCCTGTGTGGGCGCTCCTACCACCAGCAGTTCTTACCAACTTGGTCCCAGCTCCCCTCAGCATCTGCTTCTGCTTAGGTATTTTCATATGGTTTCTAGAACATGAATCAACACCGGATCAATAATTGTTCCCCCTATCCAAAGAATAAATCACATTGGGTGCACTGGGTGATTTGAATTCTGAGTCAACGCCACTGAATAAATAATAATCCTTATCTATTCTCGTAACTTATAAAATTGGCTTTTAAAATGCCAGAGCCAGTTAATAGATATGGTTTCCCATTTACAGAGTTCTATCTTGCTAGCTTAGTGATTAAGGGCATGGACTCTTGTGTGGATTCAGACCACGGCTCTTCTCTTTTTCCGTGGGTGATAGTGGGTAAGTTATTAATTATACATGCCTAATCGTCTTTATCTGTGTAAGAGATTAGTAATAAAGCCTGTCTCGGCCGGGCGCAGTGGCTTATGCCTGTAATTCCAGCACTTTGAGAGGCCGAGGTGGGTGGATCGCCTGAGTTTAGGAGTTAGAGACCAACCTGGCCAACGTGGATCCCCTGGCCCGCCGGTCCCCCCACCCTTGCTGCGTCTAAAAATACAAAAATTAGCAGGGCATGGTGAAGGGCACCTGTAATCTCAGCCACTCGGGAGACTGAGGCAGGAGAATTGCTGGAATCCAGGAGGCAGAGGTTGCAGTGAGCCGAAATCTTATCATTGCGCTCCAGCCCTGCCTGATACAGCAAGAACTCAGTCAATAAATGTCTGTCTGTCTGTCTGTCTTAGGGTGGTTGTGATGATTAAATGAAGTGATGCATTTAGAAGGTGCTTAATGGAGATCCTTACTTAAAGTGAGTGTTCAGAAATGTTAATTATTAGAATTTTTGAATGTTGTTCAGTAATAGTTTGAAAGTGAATACACTGCCAACTTTGCTTCATCTTTTTTTTTTTTTTTTCTGAGTGGGAGATGGGAGGTTTATTTTTGTTAATGTGATTTTTCTATGGAATCCAAAATTGGCGAGTGGAAAAATATAAACAGTAATATGATAACCCATACTTTACTAGTTGAAAGGTAGTATAACATACTGGCAAGAAAATTATATTAAAGTAGAAAATGTGGAGTGTAGTCTTCACTCTGCTGCCCAAATAAGCTTTCCCTAACATTAGTAGCAACACGTAGAAACGTTGAAAATGACCCGCCGAATTGCTGGTTCTATCCAATTAGCACATACAAAATGTTCCATGTGGCTTATGTCATAATAACTTTTAAAACAAGCTCATTTTAAGACCGTAAATGCTAAAATGCTACCTTCTCCATGAGTCATTCACTGATCATATAAATCAGCTGTGACCTACCTTTCCTTACTCTATGGAACACGCTAACATTCTGCAGCATTTGTTAACACTGTTTTAATTGATGTATTACCTCTTTTGCTGTATTTATTATTGATTTCTTAGGGGAAGAAACTCTCTCTCTCTATACATATATATATACATATATATATATAAATGTGAGTGTGTGTGTGTGTATGTGCCTATGTATTAAAGTCCACACAGGCCGTCCTTGGCAAAATTCAAGAGTCCTTTGAAAATATGCGGTGATTAGAATGTGTAAGGCAGAGAGGCAGCTCCCTAGATCCCCTGCCTCATCTGTACTTTCAAATCTTCTAGATGTTCCAACATTTGAATACAGAGGCTTTGACTATTTGATGATTTTGGGATGTAGAGACTAAGAAGGTTGGAATATAATACACACACACACACACACACATACACACGTATATGTATATATTTATGCATAGAACCTAACATAGAGAAAATAGAAATGAACCAACACATCAGGAATAAGTAAATAAAGTTTAGCTTAATTTTTCTAGTTTAGAATGAGTCACAAGTTTCTCTTCCAGTTTATAGATGTTAGCATTTTTTAAAAAGAATCCTAGTAGGTTCAAAGTATGTCTTTCAATGAGAAACTAAATGAACTTTCCATGATTTCATCTTTAAAAAGTGAATGCCTTTCACACTTATATTTACAGTCTTATTCTTCAGATATCATCCAACTGAGAGACAGAATTCATCAAATATTTGCTCAGAAAGTATTCATTTTTGCTCACTACTTGGATGTGGAATCATCCATATCCCACATCTTAGCAACATGTACTTTACCCGTGTAGCAAACCCTCAAGCTTAAAAGAAAAGCTGGGGAAAATAATATTATTTATTTTCTGATTGGTGAAGGATTTATTGACTATATATATTAAAACTGCCCAGAACACCAAAAGAGAGAAACAAATTACATTATTATGTTATACTAACAAAGAAAGTAACATTGGAATCCATTAAAAATACTCTGATTTGGAAGAGAAACACATATGTACCTAGGCAGTTGAAAACCATCAGAAGATACAGATTTATGCACATAAAGATCTTAAAATGAGTGATACAGTGATTTTTTTAGGTTGAAAAGAACTTCACTCATTAATTCATTCTAAAATATTAAGTACTTAAAAAGATCAGCTACTGCAGTTCTAGGCACTAAGAAGAGCAAAGACAAATAAGAGACTCTCCTCTTGCCTTGAAGTTTACAGTCTCAAAGGAGAAACTAGCAGAGGGTTGAAATCTAGGGTATGTTATTGGCAATATTGCTCTGGCATTGGAATCTCACTTATTTTATTTGCTATCACCAGTGTATTATAACAACAAAATATTATGGTGTTGCTCCCATATCACAGCAAATGTTTATAAGTGGCTTGGCTAATTTATTGAGTCCTCTGTTTCAGCCCTATTATTTAACTCTCTCAATATTCTTACCTCTGTTCAGGCCATGTTTCTTGTTGAATCAAATTCACCAATTGCTGAAATTTCAGCTCACTTTCATTTCCATGAATATTTATCTATAAAGTGCTACATAGAGGAAAAAACCTATACAAGGTGAAATATAAATTAGAAATTGAAGTGAAGAGCAGTAGAGAATATAAACTCAAACACACTGGACTGTAGGTCTATAAAGTTTTTATATTTCTGCCACAAATTTGGCTTTGAATTTCCTGATGGTCGGAATAAAACAGGATACAGGCTTAACTATGTAGTTTATTTATTTATTTTTGTAAATGAGGAGAAAACATACAAGTTTCTCAGGGGGAACAGTTTTCTCTGACTTTAATTTATTGATTTTTCACATCAAGATTCATATAGGTGGCGCTGGATAATTTAATAGGCAATTTCCTCAATATTAGCCTGAGAGTAAAGGAGGAAATGAGCTTTTAAAGACACTTTCAAAGTATCTCTCTGAAAAAGGCTAGATTGGATCAGAAATGGCAATCATAATGAATCATGGTTTAGGCCCTTTCTATTCAAAGTGTGGTCTCTGCACCTGCAACATAGGCATCATCTGCGAGCTTGTAAAAATGCAGTCTCAGACTCTGTCTCATAACTACTAAATCAGAGTCTGCATTTTAACAGGATTACCAGGTGATTCATGAGCATATAAATGTTTGAAAAGCATTGATCCTCTATGTACAAAGTTTTTAGAGCTTTTTCCTTTGCTAAGATTATCAGTACTTACACATTTATTTATTCAAGAAATACTTGTTGAGCACCAACTGTGTCCTGAGGTTTATGAGAAAACTAGGAATAAACAGAACAGATGTGGCCCCTGACCTGAGAGGACTTTCAGTTAAAAAGGGAAATAAGTAATAAATGCATAGATTACCTATACATACAATTGCAATAAGTGCAAAGAAATACAAATCTATGATATTGATTTTAAAATTGAGTGGGAGGTGCTTTAGATATAGTGATTGAGAGTAGTCTCTGGTTAGATAAGATAAAAGTGAGACCTTAACAATACATTAAAATGCTAGCCCATAGCTAACATTCTAGCCACACCTCACAGTTTTAATGTACCCTTCAGGTCTCATTTTTATCAGAAGTAAGTATTTGTTGAATGAAAGAAAGAATAAACCAATGAACAAGGCCAGTTCCTATATCAGCAAGCTATTGTGATACAATAAACCACTCTAAAATGCAGTGCTTGGAAACAACCATTTATTTAGCTCACACTATTTAAGGTCAGCAGTTTAAAATGGGCGCAGGTAGGCAATTTTTGTGGTCTTTGTTGGGTTCTTAATGCATCTGTGGTTAGCTAATGGTCAGGTAAGTGGCTTCCCTAGATTTACTGATCCTGACTGGGCTCTCAGTCTCTGGAGCCTTAATTGGGATGACTCTTGTTATTTTGCCACTTGGTCTCTCATCCTGCAGCAAGCTCAGCCAGTCTTGTTCTTAGGGAGTTCAATCATCCCAAGAAAGAAATCAGAGACATACAAGGCTCTCTAGAACAGTGATTCCCAACCTTTTTGGTACCGGGGACTGGTTTCTTGGAAGACACATTTTCCACAGACTGGGATTGGGGGAATTGTTTCAAAATGATTCACACACAAAACATTTATTGTGCACTTCATTTCTTTTATTGTTACATTGTAATATATAATGAATAAGTATACAACTCACCATAATGTAGAATCAGGGAGAGCACTGAACTTATTTCTCTGCAACTAGACGACGGTTCCATTTGGGGGTGATAGGAGACAGTGACAAATCATCAGGAATTAGATTATCATAAGGAGTGCACAACCTAGATCCCTTGCATGCACAGTTCACAATAGGGTTTGCACTCCTGTGAGAATCTAGTGCCAACCGCTGATCTGACAGGAGGTGGAACTCAGCTGGTAATGCAAGCACTGAGGAGTGGCTATAAATACAGATGAAGCCTCACCAGCCTCACTTCCTTGTCTGCCGCTCACCTTCTGCTGTGTAGCCCTGTTCCTAATGGACCACTGACAAGTACCAGTCCGTGGTGTCCGGGTTGGGAACACCTAGTCTAGAGGACCAGGTTCAACACTGGCCTACAGCAACTTCTACACATTCTATTGATAAAAGCAGGGTACAAGGCCACCCAGATTCAAGTGATTAAGGAACAGACTCCATCTATTGATGGCAGGAACTGCAAAGGGGTTAAATACAGGAAGGTCATAATTAT